CGGTGTGTTGAAAGAGAGAAGAATATGAAAAATAGAAAAAAAAGGTATATCGGCAACACTTCTGCAAGCAGCAGGACTCCATGTTGCCGTTACATGAGCATCCAGTGCCAACTTCTCGGCCTCGTATCTCTGTAAGTACTGACCCTAATTTTTCTTTTATTCTAAAACACCTAAAAAAATGTGTTCTTTTTTTTTCTATGAAAAAAAAAGAAAACTTTTTTTTTTTTCAAAATATTCGGGGCGCTGCGCGAGTGAACGTGTATATATATATATATATACGTTTGGACTGTTTAAGGGTTAATTGAGCTATGTGTAGAAAGAGGTTTGGTAATAAGTAATACATATTTCATGAAAAAGAGGATAAATAAGCATACAAGGTATGATATAGCACATAACGAAAGTAGTTTGTTAGATTATGTATTGGTGGATAAAGGTTGATGGGTAGGCTTAAGGATGTACATATTTATAGAGGAGCAATGGATATATCGGATCATTATTTAGTTGTAGCTAAAGTTAGACTAAGAAGTATATGGGACAAAAGGAAAATAACAAGTAAGAGAGAGGTGAAAGTGTATAAACTAAGGGAGGAGGAAGTTAGAGTGAGATACAGTGGACCCTCAAAAATCTAACATATCACATATCGAACGTTTCGAAAATAGGACCATTTTTTCAGACAAACTGTGTCCCTATTATTGAACGCGCCCCTATTTTCGGACCGTCGGGTACGGGACCTGTCTGCCGGCCAACTCTGTCCGCATCCCCGCGCAGGTGCCATGAGCAGTCTAGCTTTGTTTATGCTTGAGTGAACACTAACCTGCGCTCTCATTCATGCATTTTACGATTATTTCGTTGTGTTTAGTGCTTGTGGGACTGTGAAATAAGCTGCCATGGGCCCAAAGAAACTTGCTAGTGGTACCCCTGTGGTAAAGAAAGTGAGAAACACCATAGATGTGAAGAAGGAAATAATACAGAAGTATGAGAGTGGTGCGAGACTTGTTGAGCTTGCCAGGATGTATGGGAAAAACAAGTCGACCATCGGTTCTATCCTGTCAAAGAAAGAACAAATCAAGGAAGCTGATGTTGCGAAAGGTGTTAATATAGGGAGTGGATGAGGTGCCTTCTTCAAAGATTAAGGAGATTTGTGCCAAGTGGAATGATGTCCAAATGTTTGTGCAGAAGTACCACCCTGAGCAAGCTGAAACAAGCCATCTTTGCAACAAGTTCAGTGACAGAACTATGTCCCATTTTAGGGAAATCTTAAAGAGGTGCCAGAAACAGAGGACTGTGGACAGTTATTTTGTGAGACAGGGATCCAGTGACTCTCAAGCTGGTCCTAGTGGCATTAAAAGACAGAGAAGGGAAGTAACCCCAGAGAGGGCTTTACCTGAAGTCCTCATGGAGGGGGATTCTCCTTCCAAACACTAACCCCAACTCCCTCTCTCCTCCTCCCTATCTTCCAGATGCCATCACCAATCTTCAATAAAGGTAAGTAAAAATGTTATTTTATATGTATTACTATACATAATTAAAAACTATAGTATTTGTTGTATGTAAAACTGTAATTAATCTCTATAAAATGTATTTTTTGTATGAATATTTTTGGGTTTCTGGAACGGATTAATTGTATTTCCATTATTTCTTATGGGAAATATTGCTTCGAATTTCAGACTTTTCGAATTTAGAACTAGCTCCTGTAACGGATTAAGTTCAATTTTAGAGGTTCCACTGTATAAGCAACTATTAGCAGAAAGGTGGGCTAGTGCAAGTATTAGTGGGGGGGGGGGGGGTGTTGAAGAGGGTTGTAATAGTTTTAAAAATGCAGTATTAGAATGTGGGGCAAAAGTTTGTGGCTATAGGAGAGTGGATGCAGAAAGAAAGAAGAGTGATTGGTGGAATGACGAAAGGGTGTGATAAAAGAGAAAAAGTTAGCTTATGAGAGGTTTTTACAAAGCAGAAGTGTTATAAGAAGAGCAGAGTATATGGAGAGTAACAGAAAGGTGAAGAGAGTGGTGAGACAGAGCAAGAGGAGAGCAGATGATAGAGTGAGAGAGGCACCATCAGATAATTTTGATGAAAATAAGAAAAAATTTTGGAGTGAGATAAACAAGTTAAGAAAGCCTAGGGAATGAATGTATTTCTCAGTTAAAAACAGATTAGGGGAGTTAGTAGAAGGGGAGATGGAGGTATTGGGTAGATGGCAGGAATATTTTGAGGAATTTTTAAATGTCGATGAAGAAAGAGGGGTGGTAATTTCATGTACTGGCCAGGAAGGTATAACATCTTTTAGGAGTGAACAAGAGCAGGATGTGAGTGTGGGGGAGGAGTGCATGAGGCATTACGAAGAATGAACGGGGGTAAAGCAGCTCGAACTGATGGGATCATGACAGAAATGTTAAAAGCAGGGGAGGATATTGTGTTGGGGTGGTTGGTATTTTTGTTTAATACATATATGAAAGAAGGGAAGGCACCTAGGGATTGGCAGAGAGCATGTATAGCTCCTTTATATAAAGGGAAGAGGAACAAAAGATATTGTAAAAATTATAGGGGAATAAGTTTACAGAGTATACCAGAAAAAGTGTACGGTAGGTTTATTATTGAAAGAATTAGCAGTAAGAAAGAGAGAAGGACTGCAGATGAGCAAGGAGACTTTAGAGTGGGTAGGGGAAGTGTAGATCAAGTGTTTGCATTGAAGCATATATGTGAACAGTATTTAGATAAAGGTAGGGAAGTTTTCATTGCATTTGTGGATTTAGAAAAGGCATATGATAGAGGGGATATAGGAGCAATGTGGCAGATGTTGCAAGTATATGGAATAGTTAGTAAGTTACTAAATGATGGCAAAAGTAGGTCTTAGACAGGGATGTGTAATATCACCATGGTTGTTTAAGTGCCAAGTTAGAGGATGATGGTGTGCCATTTTGATTTTATTCAATAAACACCCTGCCACTCACCTCTCACACATTAATATTAATATTTTAAGGTAAGTAATAAGTGTACTCTGTGTGTATCTTACCTTCTATTGCATTTTTAATGCCTATTTCTATTGCTAACTTAATGTGAGTTAGTGTAAACTTGTTGTCTGGCATTTATTGCATATTTTATATGCTCTGATAATAATACCTGTGGAGCCGGGTGGAGGGACAACATTACGTTTTCTCTCTGTTCAGCAATCAGAGAAAACGTATATGAATCTGCGTTTAGCCCAGCCACTCCCCCACTCCGCTTTTGTTTACAATTTTCGGCATGAATTATTCATTACTTCTACCTTCGTTTATGATGGCATCTAAAGGTAGTTGTTAGAAATGATTAAATTCAGTGAACAAGGCATGTCGATGTTAGTAATATGGCTCTGGGCCACAGTGTAGGTAGCCGGTAGGTGTAGCCCAGGCAGGCTACACCTACCGGCTACCTACACTGACTTTATACAAAAAAATACTACTCACCTCTCTTCCTATATTAAGACTACACATATTTTAAGGTAAATAATGAGTGTACTGAATGTGCATTTTACCTCTGGGATGTTTTAAATATCGTATATTAAGTATGAGACGGGGAGCCAGTGCTACCTACACCTGGGCTACCTGCACCTGACTTCCTACAAATAAGTACTACTCACCTCTCTCCCTACATTAAGATTACAAATATTTTAAGATAAGTAATGAATTTACTGTGACTGTATTTTACTTTGTGTGTTTTTAATGCCTAGTTCTATTACTAACTTAATATAATTTAGTGTAAACTTGTTGTCTGGTATTTATATGCATTTATAAATGGAAAAAAATGGAGCTCTGCCTTCCGGCGATGTCTACTTTCCGGCGACAGCCTGGAACTTAACCCGCCGTATAAGTGGGGCCCTACTGTATACCAAAGCAGTGTTTCAAAAATGCTTTGAAGTGACCTCAGACACTGAATTGACTCTAAGAGAGTTCTGGAAAGATCACTTCAATATCCTCCATTGCATAAACCTTATAGGTTAGGCTTGGGAAGGAGTGACTTGCAGGACTTTGAGCTCTGCTTGGAGAAAATTGTGGCCAGAATGTGGACTTTGAAGGGATTGTGGCTGACCCTGAGGAGCCTATGCCAGTTGTGGAAAGTATTGTGTCACTGGGAAATTCCATGGGGCTGGATGTGAGTTTGGAGGATGTAGAAGAGTTGGAAGAGGGCCACAATGAAGAGCTTCATCTGCAACAGCAACAGACCACAGCTCAGGAAATTGCTTCAGAGGAGGAAGAAGAGAGATAGAGGAAGGTACCTTCTTCAAAGATTAAGGACACTTGTGCAAAGTGGACTGAAGTGCAAACATTTATGGATGATGAACTTCACCCTGACAATGCTGTTGCAGGCCGTATTGGCAACTTGTACAATGACAATGTTGTGTCCAATTTTAGGGAAATTTTAAAGAAATGTCAGAAACAGAGCTCTCTGGACAGATATTTTGTGCAACAGAGGTCCAGTGACTCTCAAGTTGTTCCCAGTGGCATTAAAAAACAAAGAACAGAAGTAACCCCAGATAAGGATTAGGTACCTGAAGTTTTTATGGAAGGGGATTCCCCTTCCAAACAATAGTGCACCTTCATCCTGTCCCCTCCTCCCGTCTTCCATCCACCCAGAAGTCTTCAGTAAAGGTAAGTGTAATGTTATCATTATTTTATATATGTATGTATTTGATTTTTCATTGTTTTCTGTATGTAAATCTTTATTTAATTTGGAAAAAAGTTTTTTTTTCTTTTTTTAATATTTTTGGGTGCCTGGAACAGATTAATTTTTTTTCCATCATTTCTTATGGGGAAAATGGTTTCGCCATTCTTCAATTTCGTCCTTCAGCAGACTCTCTGGAACGGATTAATCACGAAACTCGGGGTTCCATTGTATAACGTTTAGTATATTGCCCATGAATCTTGTAAAAGGGGTTAACAACAGTTACAGTAACCTGCAGGTTATAATAATCATCTTATTGAAAGTCTAATTATTACATTAACAAGATATTAACTGTAACTTACCATAAGTCCCTGTGCCACTTCCTTCATCTTCTCTGGGCCCAGGTCCAAGAAACTCTCAATTAGGTCGCCATCAATGAACCCTTCACACCTATCGGTTTTGCGCTCAGTACTAGGGAAAATGCACAGTATTTAGTAATCACGAACTTAGATAAAGCTTATATCTTTAACGAGGTAAAAACAATATAACTATATATGAGAATATAAAATGGATATTTTTCCTGCAAGTAAAATTTAGCTAATATACTTGTATTCAATCGAAGTAATTAATTGTGATTTTTGTACTATGATTACTCTTTTACTCGCATTTTACTTGCTGAAATGATTATGCTAGATGTAAGTTCATTATACATTATGTAATTTTTGTTGTTAAAGATATTAACTATAAAGTACAGTATTAACCACTTTACTGTTTCAAGAATACACAATGACAAATAGCATAGTATACAACACCAAAGAAAAACTGAATGTTTTTCCGCAAGATGTAAGAATGGTTTAGAATAATACAGCTGATTTTGCAACAAAAAACTTCCAAAAATTTTTAAATACACAAATACTCTTAGATTTACTACTACAGGTTGGCCATCACTAATCCAACAATCAGTAATCCGGTTCCATCAGTAATCTGGCATTAATTTTGGCTAACATAATTTCAAATTTCAGGGGTTACCACACCAACCTGCCGCTAATGTCTGATGGCGCTACTTGCTGCATAAGTCATTCCAATTTGATTTTCTCCATTTATTGTCACAACCTGCTCACTTTTAGCCCTAGCCATGGTTCCAACAAATAAATGAAATGCTTCTCATTGTGTAAAGCACATACACCATACTTTTTTTTTTATTGTTTGTGTAACAAGTTGGCCATTTCCCACCGAGGCAGGGTGACCCAAAAAGAAAGAAAATCCCCAAAAAGAAAATACTTTCATCATTCAACACTCTCACCTCACTCATACATAATCACTGTTTTTGCAGAGGTGAGCAGAACACAACAGTTTAGAAGCATATACGTATAAAGATATACAACATATCACTACAAACTGCCAATATCCCAAACCCCTCCTTAAAGTGCAAGCATTGTACTTCCCATTTCCAGTACTCAAGTCCGGCTATATAAAAATAACCAGTTTCCCTGAATACCCTCACTAAATATTACCTGCTCATACTCCAACAGATCGTCAGGTCCCAAATACCATTCGTCTCCATTCACTCCTATCTAACACGCTCATGCATGCTTGCTGGAAGTCCAAGCCCCTCTCCCACAAAACCTCCTTTACCCCTTCCCTCCAACCTTTTCAAGGACGACCCCTACCCCGCCTTCCTTCCCCTACAGATTTGTACACTCTCCATGTCATTCTACTTTGATCCATTCTCTCTAAATGAACAAACCACCTCAACAACCCCTCTTCAGCCCTCTGACTAATACTTTTATTAACTCCACACCTTCTCCTAATTTCCACACTGAATTTTCTGCATAATATTTACACCACACATTGCCCTTAGACAGGACACCTACACCACCTCCTTGCTGCAGCATTTACAACCCAAGCTTCACACCCATATAAGTGTTGGTACCACTATACTTTCATACATTCCCTTCTTTGCCTCCATAGATAATGTTTTTTGTCTCCATATATACCTCAATGTGCCACTCACCTTTTTTCCTTCAATTATATGGTTAACCTCATACTTCATACAACCATCCGCTGACATGTCAATATCCAATTTTTCTTCATCTATGTCATTTGATACCCTCATCACCTTACTCTTTTCTATGTTCACTTTCAACTTTCTACCTTTATACACTCTCCCAAACTCGTCCACTAACCTTTGCAACTTTTCTTTAGAATCTCATATAAGCACAGTATCATCAGCAAAAAGTAACTGTGTCAATTCCCATTTTGTATTTGATTTCCCATAATTTAATCCCACCCCTCTCCCGAACACCCTAGCATTTACTTCTTTTACAACCCCAACTTCTTTTTCTTTCTTTCAACAAACTGGCCATATCCCACCGAGGCAGGGTGGCCCAAAAAGAAAAACAAAAGTTTCTCTTTTTAAATTTAGTAATTTATACAGGAGAAGGGGTTACTAGCCCCTTGCTCCCGGCATTTTAGTCGCCTCTTACAACACGCATGGCTTACGGAGGAAGAAACAACCCCAACTATAAATATATTAACCCTTTGAGGGTTTTCGTCGTACTAGTACGTCTTACGCGTAGGGGTTTTTGACGTACTAGTACGCATAAATTCTAGCGGCCTCAAATCTAGTGGGAGAAAGCTGGTAGGCCTTCATATGAAAGAATGGGTCTATGTGGTCAGTGTGCACAGTCTAAAAAAAATCCTGCAGCACACAGTGCATAATGAGAAAAAAAAAACTTTGACCATTTTTTTGGAATAAATCAGCAACTTTGCAGTGTATTTTCGTATGGTATTTATTGTTGTATTCTAGTTTTCTTGGTCTCATTTTATAGAATGGAAGACATATTACAGAAATTGAGATGATTTTGGCTGGTTTTACAATGAAAGGTGCCTTGAAATTGAGCTCAAAGTAGCAGAAATGTTCGATTTTTACCAAACTTCAAAAGTAAACAAATCGTGCCAAGCGTGCAATACACGTCAACTGGTGAGTCTAATATTCTTTCACAAGTGCACCAATATATTTTATACCATTTTTTACACTAATGCAGTAGTCTGCATAACAGTAAATCTTATATTTTTTGTGAGAATAAAAATTCAAAATGGAAAGCAAAAGAATATAAGAGGGGCCTTGAGACGTGACTAATGACTAGAGGAAATGTCATTTTAGTGCCAGGAATGTCTTTCTTGTTTATTCTGGACCCTATTCGGAAATTGGCATCTTTTGAAATTTGTGTGAAATTGGCAAAATTGCTAAATTCTGACCACTGTACTGGATAGTTGAATTTCATAAATGGGTGGTTTTTTCACCCATTCGATAGAAAAAATGGAGTTCTAGCGAAATATTCACGTTTTTTGTCGACTAGTACAGCGAAATTGGCCAAAAATGGGGCTCAAAGTGGGCAAAATCGCCGATGCGTAAACATCGCCGAGACCGCTAACTTTGCGAGAGCATAATTCCGTAAGTTTTCTATCAAATTTCAAACTTTTGGTGTCTTTATGATCGGGAAAAGATTCTCTATCTTTTCATAAGAGAAAATAATTTTTTTTTTTTTTAAATTTGGCCGACCCTGAGAACGAGTTTCGGAGAGGGCCTGTCGACCCTCAAAGGGTTAAACAACCATGGTGATATTACACATCCCTGTTTAAGACCTACTTTTACCAGGAAGTAGTCTCCCTCTCTTCAACACACCCTAACTTGAGCCTCACAATCCTCATAAAAACTCTTTACAGCATTTAGTAACTTACTACCTATTCCATATACAGTGGACCCCTGCTTTACGATCACCTCCCAATGCGACCAATTATGTGAGTGTATTTATGTAAGTGCGTTTGTACGTGTATGTTTGGGGGTCTGAAATGGACTAATCTAATTCACAATATTCCTTATGGGAACAAATTCGGTTAGTACTGGCACCTGAACATACTTCTGGAATGAAAAAATATCGTAAACTGGGGGTCCACTGTACTTGCAACATCTCCCACATTGCTCCCCTATCCACTCTATCATAAGCCTTTTCTAAATCCATAAATGCAATGATAACTTCCCTACCTTTATCTAAATACTGTTCACATCTATACATCCCCTACCCACTCTAAAACCTCCTTGCTCATCTGCAATCCTACATTCTGTCTTGCCTCTAATTCTTTCAATAATAAACCTACCATACACTTTTCCTGGTATGTGCTCAGCAAACTTATTCCTCTATTATTTTTACAATCTCTTGTCCCCCTTCCCTTTACATAAAGGAATTATAAATGCTCTCTGCCAGTCCCTAGGTACCTTCCCCTCTTTCATACATTTATTAAACAAAAATACCAACCACTCCAACACTACATCCCCCCCCTGCTTTTAACATTTCTGTCATTATCCCGTCAGTTCCATTTGCTTTACCCCTTTCCTTCTACGTAATGCCTCATGCACCTCCCCCACACTCACATCCTGCTCTTCTTCACTCCTAGAAGATAGTATACCTCCCTGGCCAGTGCATGAAATTACTGTCTCCTTTTCTTCGTCGACATTTAAAAGTTCCTCAAAATATTCTCGCCATCTACCCAAAACCTCCATCTCCCCATCTACTACTCCCCTACCCTGTTTTTAACTGACAAATCCATTCGTTCTCTAGGCTTTCTTAACTTGTTTAACTCACTCCAAAATTTTTTCTTATTTTCATTAAAATTCCTTGACAGTGCCTCTCCCACTCTATCATCTCCTCTCCTTTTGCACTCTCTCACCACTCTCTTCACTTTTCTTTTACTCTCCATATATTCTACTCTTCTTATAACACTTCTGCTTTGTAAAAAACTCTCATAAACTACCCTTTTCTCTTTTATCACACCCTTTACTTCATCATTCCACCAATCACTCCTCTTTCCTCCTGCCCCCACCCTCCTATAACCACAAACTTCTGCCCCACATTCTAATACTGCATTTTTAAAACTATTCCAACCCTCTTCAACCCTCCCACTACTCATACTTGCACTAGCCCACCTTTCTGCCAATAGTTGCTTATATCTCACCCAAACTTCTTCGTTCCTTAGTTTATACACTTTCACTTCTCTCTTACTTGTTGTTGCCATTTTCCCTTTGTCCTATCTACCTCTTGCCATATATTCTATACATTACCATACAATCTCCATAAAAGATAAGGTGGCTTTGAAGCCACTGTTGGTCACCATGAGCTCAGCTCACTCAGATAAGCTGTGACCAGTAAATTTGGATCTATACATAAGAGAACAGATCTATATGGTAAGTGTGCACTATATATAAAAAAAATCCTAGAGCATACAGCGGATAATGAGAAAAAATGCAACCGTGTTTTTTGGTGTAAAACAGCTACTTTGCAGTGTATTTTTGTATGGTTGTATTCTCATTTTTTTTGGTCTCAATTGACAGAATGGAAGATACTTTACAGAAATAGATATGAATTTGATTGGTTTCATGATGGAAATTATCTTGAAACTGAGCTCACAGC